AAAAGGGTAAAATGAAGTAATTTCAAGGTTAAGATTAGAAACTTAATTCTCCTTTAAAAAATCAAAGTAATAGGTGGTCAATCAGTGATTACGATTAGTGCTTATGCCCCGTCATCCATTTAGACACTATTTAATACTCTTTTCATTCCATTTCCTCTTTATTTCAAACTTTATTCATTTTATTACATGAATATTGTTTGAACATTTAACCTCCCCGTCGAGACAAACATTTTTGTGGCTGGATAGCTTGGACTTGATTGCAAAATTTATCGATGCCGGAAATAATCAAATGATGCGACCTGGAGATGGTATATCCAATTTCACGCCAATGAAAGGAATACATGAAGAAGAACCTGATCTTGGAGATGGAGATAAGTCACTCACCAAATTGATGAGTGTCAAGATTGAAGAAAAATAATACTCTCTTCGTCCCAAAAAGTCCGACACGTTTCGAAAAAACTGCGTCCCGTAAAGTCCGTTACATTTCTATTAAAAAACCACTTTTACCCCTTACTTTTTCATACCCTACCTATCAAATCATACCTTTTTCCTAATAATCTACCCATCACATCCTACTTTTACCCATCACATCACATCCTACTTTTACCCATCACATCAAGGGTATTTTTGGAAAGTCAACACCAAAATATCCCTCCCTTAATTTCCCAAAAAGTCAATATGTACCAATCTTTTTGGGACGGAGGGAGTATTATACTTGATTTATAGATGAGTTTTGTTTTATGGTTTTACTTACATTATTGAAGGTTAGACTACACCATGTAAGAGTAAGTAGTAGTATATGATTAAATGATCTAGCCTACAAATACTTTGTTGGTCTTAGCTTAAAAGCTTAAACATATGTAAAATTTGTTCTAAACAGGACTAAAACATAATGACTTTCCCAATGTAGGACTTAAACTTTTTTATTCCCTAAATAGGACTTATTAATGACCTAGTGGGAGGAATAATGTCCAGTAATGATGGACATTTACTTGAATAATGAATTCTTGATAATGACCAAAAGTCTTACATTGAGAAATAAAAACATATGATCCTATATTGGGAAAATCATTATCTTTTAGTCCTATTTAGGTAAATTTCTCGTTTTGGTTCAAATGTATTGTCACTCATAAATTGAAAATCTAATAAATTTCAATAAAATGGTCTTTTGTCAAACATTTCATTCTAGCACTCACGTTCTCTTTAATACAACTTTTGTATATAATTTTTTTGTGATGTGTCATACCTTCATATATAAAAATAATATAAAGAATATGAATAACTAACAGAAAGTGTATAGTAGAAATAATGTTTGTGGGCACCAAGATTTCTCGTGTCCTCATATACAGTGCGAAAATTATAATCCTACTTTAAGGAAAAGAAATCACATTCTATTTCTATATGCAAATATTCACAACTATGTTAACAGAGGATGTAAGTTCTCTTTAACAATTAAATTTTTATCAATATCCAATATAATTTTTCTTTAAATAATGACCAATTTTTTCAAGTTTGACTACAAAAAGACAAACAGATCAATACTTCGGGACAAGGGTAATAAGTACATTTAATTAAAAGGTGATTGAAAAAATGTCTTATAAAAATTATCCCACCTACGAAAGTCATTGTCAGCTTTATATTGTTAATTCACAAGTGAAGACAAAGACATAATTAAAAAAATTGTTTCTAGATGCGTATGGAAACCCTTGCAACCATAAAAAAATCTTATAAACATTGACGTCTTGGAAAAGATTCAGAATTAAATAAAGATTTGTCGAGTTCACTTTCAATTCCTTAAATATTATTTATTCTAGTTTGGCGTTGGTGTCTATAATATTATAAATCGTGCTAAAACTATATTTTCTTTATTCCTTAAAAAAATATTAATTTCATTAAAAAATTTGGAATCGATAAAAATTTTGTTCGATCTCGTGCATGACACATGTCAAAATAGAAATAAAAAAAATTGTGAGTAGTTTTGAAAATTTATAGAAACTGTTGCTTTTTTAAAAATAATACCAACTATATAACCTTTTTTAAAATTAATAAAATATTTATGTAGATTAAGAAAATAATCTACCGTGGTGTACTTAGAAAATAAAAAGTACCCGTGGTGTACTTAGAAAATAAAAAGTTTTATGCAAATAGGTGTGTGCACAACAATTCGGTAAACTAATCAAACCAAACCAAAACCAAAAGTTTGGTACATAACAAAACTGAACCAAAATATGGTTCAGAATTCAATTTTATTTTTTAAATATTCAATTTCCGGTTTGGTTGAACAAAATGGAATCATTACTTCGGTTTGTATTGAATGCTGAAAAATCCGAAATAAAGTTAAACAAAATAAATTACTTTGGTTTCCAACATCACATATCAATCATCTATTTCCATTGCTTCCTCAAAGGTATCAGCCGGATGAGTGGTCAGGTCGATGCAGAATGGGCCGTTTAGGAAGGAGGCCTTAAAGGTTGCTAAACGAGATTTGTCATCCGCCCCTTCCACCTCTCGGTATTCTTTCCTCCATCTAGCAAGGAACTTGTTCAAAGACTCACTCATCCTTTACGTGATAGAGGCCCGGTGGGTGAAGTGTTTCTTAGATTTATAACTCCAAGTAAAATATTCCACGAACATTGCTGCTAATTCCCTCCAAATGTTGATGCTTTGTGGGGGAATTAAATCCAGAAAACCCGCAACCGTGTTATTCCACCGTTTATAGGACACAACGGTAGATCAGATCATCTTCTGCCCCTACGGCCAGCATGTTGTTGTTGTAGCATCTCTAGTGTTCCCGAAGTCAGTCTCTCTGTTATACCTCTTCATAGGTGAGACCTTAAATCCCATAGCATACATGTAGATCATGACCCTTTGTGAAAATGAGGTGTCCTCCAGCAGACCTAGCCTGCGGCCTTTTAAGGTATCTACCTTCAGCTACAACTTCTCAATCTTTTCACGAAGATCTCTTATCCTGGAGGAACTTTCCTCCCAGTTCCCATCAATGTATCTTTTTCCTGGTGCATGCAAGGTGCTCTCTACTTCATTGTCCTTTGTCTAGGCGCTAACCTCTTGCTTGGAGGATCTGACCTTGCTTTTTTCATCCCAGCTACGAACTTGGTTCATCGTGGGGTTCCTTCCTAATATCTTTGTAATCGAAACACAAAGTCTCTCCAAGACTCCACCTCCTCAAGCCATCACCTCTACGTCTTGCGACTGGATTGGGTCATAGGAGAGAGGGACTCAGGACCTACTTGTCTCCGTATCACCATGTATCTTGGCCTTAGCCTTCTCACATCTTTAAAACCTCGTACATATCTCGTCCCCTCGGTGTGGGACCTCTAGATTACACAAAAGTTCCACGTTCTAGGATAAACAAAGTAGGGATAAGGTGGTCAGGTCACCGTCTTGGGTTAGAAAGTATGGTCCCCAAAGGGCACATTTCAGCTTGACTCTTTCATTATACTTCCTGATATGCTCGTTCTTCGCTTCAATCTCCACAAGGCTCTCAAAGTTTTCCAAGCTAAGCACTTTGCCCTAAGTTCCTCTCGATCTAGCAAGGGTCCTCGGGTCTGTAACTTTTTTTGTATAGCCACTGGATCGTCCGAGATCAGTGCATCGAAACCCAGCGTTTGATTCAGTTTTTCTACCATATGGGTTAATAAGAGTTGGATGTTACACATCGCCGTCTCCAGTAAAGTTGGCTAGTCGATCGTTTGGGATCGGCACAACGAATGGACCAGGCATTTGATCTAGTGTTTCCACCATACGAGTCAACAAGAGTTGGATGTTACACATTGTCGTCTCAAGCGGGCGGCTAGAGGGCCAACTCCCTCCCTCCTCCAAAAGGGGGCAGTACGACTGAAGATGGAGGAGCCATTGTTGCGTCAGTGTTGTTTCCATCTTCATTTTTTTCGTGTCATGCTCAAGCACATGCCTTTATATTCTCAACTATCTCTCAATAAAAACACCAATGATGGAGTTTAAATCCACGGACTATTATTTTCACACAATCTCAGAGTAATTATGAAAGTAATATTGAATAACAGACAAAAATATTGAACCAAAAAATCGGAGTTAAAGAGCTCTCCCTTATTCAAAACACTTTGGGGGGTTTTATAAGTTATAACATCTAACCTTCCTAATCCTATTTGGCTTTACTCTAGAAACTTAGGTAAACCTCACCCAAAGTAACTAATTTGAATCCTACTCGGCCCAGCCCATTAAGCTCATCCCTTAGCTTGGATGGGTTTCGCCATGCATCGCTCGCTTCCATGTCTATTTCTCTAGTCTAGGCCTTGATGCTGAATTGACTAATCAAGATAATTGTATTGGGCTAGTTATATTAATATATACACCTCGGCCCAATATGCCTCTCAGATTTCATTTAGTTATCTTAAATTCTTTGGAAAGTTCATATATAATTTTTTAAATAATTCATAATGTTTTTAAATATATCTAAAAGGTAATTAAAAATTCAATATAAACTACGCTAAGAATATTATATGTTTTTTTATATTTTATTGCGAAGTACTCCGTATTTGTTTAGTGAAAATGCAAATACTAGCATTAATTTAAAAATTTAAAAAATAAATTTGACACAAAGTTGATGTAACCCAAATCCGAATTACCGAATTCGACCATATACCCTGTATCATTGTTAAAAGGTAAGTAAAATCTTTTTAAATAGAAACACCAAAAAAGGAAACGTAGAATTGTGTTTTAGAAGGGAAGGAAAAGTATTAGTTAAACAGAGAAAAACACTAAAGCACGTCCGCTAGTCTAAGTTGGATTGTCGAGTTTGGCCGGCACCGGTGGAAAGGAAAAGCCGACACCGGAGATCGAAAATCTTACTCTGACCGGAAACCGTATAATTAAAGGCAAAAGCAAGCATGGAGTAATTAATTAATTAATTAATCAACCTCATAATAATAATTACTTGATGAACACGCGCGCACCGATCACCTCTACAAAATTTCTGATGAGAACCTAATAAACACAGAAAAAATTATGGCCCTTCTTAATTAATTAGCTAGGACAGGTTGTTAATGGACACTGTACGGATACAAGGAGAGTTACTCCACACATTAGAGTGCAACCTTAGTATCTCTCTTGCTTTCTTCTTCAAATGCACTTCACAATCAGCTTGAAGAACCATGCAAAGCTTTGCCACTGCTCCCACCCTCAGCATCTCCAAAGTCACCTCCTTCGTCGCCGAATATTTCGAGAGCATCGCCAAAATATGCACCGCGCGATCGTCTGTCGTCGCCGAAACCCTAAGAGTACGTTTCGAAACGAGGGCTATGGCCCCTGCGTGTCTCAAGAACTGCTGCCTCCCATCTGCTATGGAGCAAAGGTGAGACAGCAGTGAGAACACGAGCTCGCTGAACCGCTTCCCGAGGTTGCAGAGCTCGAGTTCGACCAGCTCGAAAACCGCCCCCGCTTCGATGATCTTTAGCTTGTTTCTTCCCCATGGACATGCTTGTATGAGCACGTGTAGCGCCGCTTTGGTTGTTTGTTGTGTGATGGTATTGGTTCTCAGGAGACTTACCATTTTCACGAAGAACTCGGAGTTTAGTCCTTCGAGAATGTTTGAACTCGTGACCTCTGTGATTTTCTTCAACGCGCTCACTGCTTGGATTTTGACAAGATCGTTCCCGTTTTCGGGTTTCAAGTTCATTATCCATAGTATTAGTTGAATAAGATCACCATGGTTTTGGTTCACTATAAACTTGTTCTCAATGGATGGACTACAAACAAGATGGAAGATCTTGAAAGCCTCTTGTAGACCTTGGATCTCTCTTTCCTTGAACCTTTTCACTATGAAGTGTACCATGCACTTGACCACCCCGACTTCGTCCATGCACTTCCTATTATTCTCGTCCTCGACTGCGAGCTCTTCCATCTTCCTCAAAGACTCCATAAAGGTCGCAGGGTTACCCAAGTCGCGGATCAACTTGAGGACCTGTGACCTTTGAATGAGAGACTTGGGAGTGGGAATCCGATCAATCCCATGTTCGGCGTTTGATAAGCACCAAGCCTGGATCAACCGGCGTAGCATGTGGTTGGGGGTCAACTCAGCGTCTCTGGGCAATGCTTGCTTTGTCACGGGACAACACGCATGCTCCGCCCCAGACAACCACTTCTGAATGCTTTCCCGGTCGTATGTGATGCCCGTCACCGCCGTGACCGGGTCCTTCATGATTTGAAGAGATATAGGACACAAGAAATATTGAGGTATCTCCACTTGGCTCATATTCATCAATTCTTCTTCAACGAAATGAACTAAGAGGAGATAAGTATATATCCTAGCTAGTAGTAGCAATTCAATAAAAATATAAATAAACAAATATATTTATATGTGTGTGCTATGAATAGGGAGAGTATATTTTTCAAAGATTAAAAGTGAGGACGGTAAGAAAATGCGGCTTTATATGCACCACAAGTCACAACTTTGAACAGAAATTCCAAGATTTCAAAGTGGGTATCTTCTTCTTTTTATCTTTATTAAAATGTGTTTATTGACTTGTCAATGCATTAGTTTGTGGTCAACCCTCTCGAGAGAAACAGATTTAATGCATTTTGGACCAGTCAGAGATGGGTGGGGCCAGATGCGTGTAGTTAAATGACTCTTTGTCTGGCAAACAATTACGTGAGTTTGAAAAAAGGTCTCATTATTAGTTGGAATTGTTGAATTTCTAAAATCTTAATGTACGTGCATGAATTTAACCGTGTCGTGGTGCCGTGGAGGTCAGGAATCATGACTACACTTTAAAATGTCATTCCCTCTTTCTCAAATTTTATTAGAGCCTTTCATATTAACTTCTTTTTGTACACACATCTCATTCATCATTTTATAAAATAATATATATATTTATTAACTTTTCTTTTATAGCCTCTTACATTGAAAATAGTTCTACCTTTATTTTTTTTAACAGTTTACAAAATAATTTATCTCACCTAAAATATTTCTAAAATAACTTTTACATGCAATAGAAGAGAAATATTGTGTATTTTAGACATTTTTGGTGGGGGTAGAACTATTTTGTGAGGTATGCAAGAATGAAAGCGGAACCATTCTTTCAAATGGAGAGAGTAAAACTTTTGATTTAATTTTCAATTGTGCAATTTGTATGAAGTACTCTGTATTTTTATATTTTCATACCACAACAACAACATCAACCAAGTAGAATCTCATAAAAGTAGGTTCTCAGTAGGGTGTGCATACGCAGACCTTACCCCTAATCGAATGTAGACCGGCTATTTCCAAAGAGACTCCAGCTCAAGCACCATAGATAACCATGTACGCCGTCTGACCCCTATATTTTAAATATAGAGTGGTTGTTTCTAGATGATCCATGATGAGCATCGAAAGTTGCATTGAGTAATTGCTATTACTTCACTATAAAAGAAACACAAAGAGTTTAAAGAGTCATATTACATTATTTGTATATAAATTTGTAAATAAAATCATTTTAGAAGAGATGAAATTTTATACGTTCTTCCAAATGGAAAGAATAAATTAGGGCGAAAGGAAGTATTAATAAATACTACCTCCGTCTTAATTTAAATTATTTGTTGTTGTTTACGAGATTTGGTTGAAATTATTTTGAAATCATTTCATTTGAAAATTGGTGTAGAATTAAAGAAAAAATTATATATTTAAAAACTACATCAAAAGTTCTACAAAATTAGAAATTATATGACTATATTATTTGATCAAATGAGTTGCTAAAATGGATAAAGAAAGTGATTAAAAGGTTACCCTGTGAATAATAAATAAACAACTTAAAATGGGATGGAGGAAGTAATACTCAATAGTTTTTAAACATTTTTTTAGACTGGGCAGAAGTAAAAATAAATTATACCTCCGTCTTATAATATATGTTCAATTTTGAGTTTTAGTGTCAAAAACGATAAAAAATGATCATTAATTAAATAATGTTTATGTAACAAGTTAAAACTGATAAATTTTAATCGTTAATTAAATTGAGTTTTAGGTAACAATTTTATTAGATATTGATATAAAAATACTTTTATTAAATTTATCTTGTAAAATGTTTTGAAATTTTTTTCTAGGTCAATATGGCATGTAATTTTCATTTAACTATATGTCAAAGGTCAATTTAATTTTGACTAAAAAAATTAAAATTCAATAAATATTCTAAGAGGAAGGGGTATGAAACACAAGTTTAGATTTTTGGGTTCTACTCCGTATATATACAAGAAGATGGAAAATGGGTGGAGATAGTTGAACGTTGTAACTCCGTATTTGATAAGAGTACCTTTTGATCTGAGTGAGACAAGCAAAATGAAAAAAAAAAAAAAAGAACCTTCTAGGGTGGGACATTTGGGTTCTATATATACAAAAAAGATGGACTACCATCTTCCCAGTTGAGATATTACAACACAACAACAATAACCACTCAACCAGGGCTAATCAGCTAGCCACAATAAATGACAACCTTTATAATAATAATAATAATAATAATAATAATAATAATAATAATAATAATAATAATAATAATAATAATAATAATAATAATAATAATAATAATAATAATAATAACAACAACAGATTTCTATTATGTCAAATGCACTCTATTTTTCATTATTAAGAATAATGATTCTGCGCATTCTTTTGCAACTTATTTCCCCAACACATAAAAAAGAACATACAAAAAAAAAATCTTCAAATCACTTGGAACTCAGCCGGTATAACAGAACCGGGTACGAAAGGATCCCGGTTAAAGCTCTCTGATTCATATAATTGGGAACCAACATTCCATGCCCATTTTCAGCAAGTAAAAAAAAGAAGAAAAAAATAGACCCTTTAAGCAATTCATTCAAGTCAAATACAGAACTAAATGACTACTTACATCCTAGCTGTTGATGTCATCACCCCAAGCATCTTCCTTCATTATTTGTCTAGAACGAATTCTACTCCTCCTGTCTTCTTCAAGCTTCTTCAATTCTTTGGTCCCGAAACCCGATGTGGGTAGTCTTATGCCCATGCTTTGAGCGATCAGTCTCTGCGCAGTTTGAGCTGATGTCTGTGGCCTTTGACGAGGCGGCTCCAAATCTACACATTCAACTTTAGCTCTAATATATGCTCAAAATATACATTATTTTTCCCCGGGGAGCACAAAAAATAATATAATATAAGTCTTTCCCTGCCCCTAGGGGACTTCAACTGATAAATGCAGGGAACATATAGTTTATATATGAGTAGGAAAAGATTCATCCTCATTAAGAGATTGCCAAGTCAACCGATGAGGATCCAACAAAAAAAGATATAGGCATTATATGAAGTCTGTGATGATGATGCAAAGAAAGACTATTTTCACCTTGTATAGAAACTACTGAGTAAATACATTTGAGACAGACTGTTCAGCTGTTTTTTAAAGAGAGACAAAATGTTTCTAACGAAACATTGCTCGTGTGCATGGATTTGCATTAATTTGTTTAAATTTCCTAGGAAATTAACTGACAGAATCGAAGAATGTTGGATACTTGAAATGTTACCTCTAGGTCGAACTGAGTTTAAAATTTCATCATCCTCGTTAAGTATATGCATTGAATATGGCCAATTAATATATTCACTTGCTTCATGAGCTGCATCACAAATAAACAAAAACCTTAGTAAAACCTATTGCTAGGATAGGAACAATGATAAGAGAAACAAACTTTCAATTGTTTCCACCATAAAAAGCAAGGCACTTGAAAGTACCTGAGAGATAATGCTGTTAAGTATTAAGAAAGCATGGTTTTAAATGGTGCGCCGTGTGCGAGGCATATGCCTGTGAGGAACTAAGACGCGAAAAACACATATAAGGCTTACACCTTCTTAGTCTACTTAAATGAGGACTACGCGTTTAGGTGTCCGCTGCTTAATGGCATAAAAGGCAAGGCCTGATTAAGGCGCTAAGGCTTATCAATGCTTAAAGTTAGATTTTGAAGATAAAATTAAAGTCTTGCCCTCTTTAGAGTATGTTAGTTTTAAAATGTGTTGGGCTAATTGTTTTAAGCCACAGAACCTCAGTCCCTTCTAGACATGAGCCTAGCCTGGCTCTTTTCCTTCAATTTTTTTTTCTTGTTACTGCATGTTCATTTTTCTATCTTCACCAATGACTGAGCAGTCCTTCAGCGACCACCATTTTTATCAATCTTTAAATCTCAGGAAATCTGTTTCTGTTTATTTTTTCATGTTTTCCTCTCTTTAACTAATTTTATTCTTTCTAGTAAATAGATCATTTCTCCTGTTAATATCCTCTTCTCTCTTTCCCTTCAACGAATAGCAAGTTGCAAACAAAAACCAGGCATGAACTCATTAAATGTATATGATCTAGTTCCAGCAGGTTAGCAAGAGCAGATGCCAAACCAAAAGTAGTCATTAACTCATCCAAATGTCCGTAACCTACTTGTAATAAAGAAAAAAACTAGTTGTAACCCCTAGGAGGAGATAGAAAGTAGGATACACGGCAATAAAATTCTTGGATTAAAAGAAGTGAGGAAGCACATTCAGCTTAAAGCATTTCTTTATTCGAGAAAATTACATTAAAATATAAAAAAGATAGTAAAGGAATAGAATTGAGCTTCAAATTCATGATTTATGACAAGGGAGGAATGGAGGATAAAAAGAAAAGAAAAATCCGGCAAAGAAAACTTGATAAATAGCTGGCTTCAGGCTATACTTCTGTGATGGGGATTGGCCATGATGATTATCTTATAAAACAAGCAACCTACCCAGTATGAATGAGGGGACACGAAGTCCAATATATTATTACTGACACATCATAAACTTGAAAAAGGACAATGCTACGTTCACAAACAGGGTTGGTCACAAATTCCACAAACTTACTATTTATGGTTTAAATTCTCATTTTTAAATTATTTTAAACTATTTAATTTTTTTTATAGAAGTTCACAAATAGTAAGTTTGTGAAGTTTGTGATAATTGTGTTTGTGAACCAAGCATTTCCCCTTGAAAAAATGTGGATACCAAGGCACCAATAAAAACTACTTTAGGAATTGCAAGTTCAGTCACGACAGAATGCTAACTATTTAAGAAAGCTAATTAATAAACAATTTTTGGTCTATAGCTCTTATACAAGAGAAACAACAACAACACCAACAGAAGCAACCCAACTGCATCCCACAAGAGTAGGGTCTGGAGAGGGTATATGTACGCAGACCTCTTATACAAGAGCATCTGTGCCATACAAAATTTATCAAATAAACTTCATTTTCCCCTACTATACCTTACATGACATTAATGCTTAACCTATGAATCTTTTACAAGTAGAAAATAACATTCTACATATGTTTTTTATGGCGAGTGGTGTTATATAAAACATCAACGTCATTACAATACGTAAATTGAGGGCTTGGTATGCCCATTGGAGATTAAACTAGCATAGGCAATACGATATTAATCTTCATCTTGGAAGGGGAAAGACTTCTTCATTGTTTGATGAAAAAAAGTTATTGCATCAAGAAATTTACCTGCTGATGGTGTTCGGAAAACTGCAAGTGCAACTGTATCATTGACCCATCTGATTGCAACCTGATCTTTATGATTCTCAAGTAACTTTTCCAAGTCCGTTGTCCTAGTGCTTAGTGGAAAGCCAGTCAAAACAAGCACATGCTGTGTGCCATATTTTACTGTAGTTTTGCAAAAAAAGTTAACTGTGAGTGAGGGAGAGGGGGTGGAGAAGAAAGAGAGAGAGAGAGAGAGAGATCAGAAAAAGCAAATGTAGAGACATACTACAAACAATGGTTTCAGAATAGAAATGCTCGCATGCAGAACAAACCCTAGTCCCACAAAATGATAATTGATGTATGTGTGTTGTGTGTTGTGTGTTGTGTGTTTGTTTGTTTGTGTGTTTGTGTGTTTGTGTGTTTGTGTGTTTGTGTGTTGTGTGTTGTGTGTTGTGTGCTGTGTGAGTGTGTGTGTGTGTGCGCGTGTGCGTGTGTGTGTGTGCGTGTGGGGCGCGTGTGTGTGCGTGTGTGTGCGCGTGTGCGCGTGTGTGTGGGGATCGACTCCAATGAGATGACACCCTACGGTAAGATGACATGCTACGGTCAGCTGACACTGGAGCTCACCGCTAATCACTGCAAAGCTCACCAAGGACTACTACGAAGCTCACCAAAATGTAAGGGAAAGCTCACCATGATTTTTTCACACTTTGAATTTTTAAAACTTTGAAGTATCAATGCTCACAAATTCTAAGAACAAAGCTTATCAATCCTCACTGCAAAGCCCACCAAGCACACACACAACTCACCATAATTTTAGGTTGCATTAAAAAAAATCGAAGGGTGACAAGGAACAGCATTGACCAGCATGGACCACCATTGACTGGCGGCAGGCAGCGGTCAAAGTCCAGTCAACAGGGTCAAAGTCCACTCCTTTGGTATTTTAAGAAAAAAAACAAAGTGTTGAAAAAAATAAGTGAGCTTTTTGTCATACAGCTTGATGAGCTTTCCAGTTCTTGTGGGTGAGTTTTGTAGTTGGCAGTGGTGAGCTTTACGTCATCTGACCGTAGCATGTTATCTTACCATAAGGTGTCATCTGACTCTGGAGTCGATCCCATAAATATATATATATATATATATATATATATATATATATGTATGTATGTATATATATATATATATATATATATATATATATATATATATACTTCCTCCGTCCCACTATATTTGTCCACTTTCATTTTTGCACACTATCCAATACACTTCTTTAATCCATTTTATCTTGTAATTTGTATATTAAAAAATTATAGAAATTATATATTTATAATCTATATGTTAAGACAAATCAAACAAGATCACGCATGACTATATTTAGGCTTACACATTGAGAGAATTTGATGAGTCAAAGTGCTTAGATGAACAGTTCCAAAAGTCAAAAGTGGACGAATATAGCGGGACGGAGGGAGTATATATATATATATATATATATATATATATATATATATATATAGTGTTGTGTGTGTGTGTGTATTCTAGGTCACAAGTATAAGTCAAATCTTTTTAAACATATTAAATTAGGCTTTCAAAAAAATTTGTCTGCACTAAGAAAAATTGGGCTTTTCAAATTTTTAAAGGGGCCCAAGGCATCAAGGCGAGAGTAAGGCGACAAAAGGCGACGTAAGGCGATACCTAGGCGAGCGCCTGAATGCCTTAAGGTTTTCTGGGCGAGGCAAGCAGACTAGGCGTCCAAAGGATAGCCTTATCGCCTAGGCGACACCTTACAAACTATGATTTAGATCGCCTAAACCAGCTCACTTTCTCATATGTATTTGAGAAAACGTGCTTGGTTTATCACAATCTATCACGATTATTGATTATGGTGTGTTGAAGCAATGTTTGAACTAGCTTACTCAGCCATATCAATTAGGTGTGGCTCATCACATTTCAGGAAAAATTGCAAGTTTGCAACGAATCACAAACTATATAGAGCAACACTTAGTATTTCCATAGTAATGAGGCTTACGCAATACTATTATACACATTTTAAATTTTTTACATAGTCAGAGTGAATAGGATATCCAAAATGGAAATAAACTATGAGATGGAACACATCATGACATAGTAATAACATTTCTCTAATCTTTGTGCATAAGAAATATGAAGCAAATATAACAAAGAAATAACATCAGTGAACAAAAAGGGGTACTTTTAGTAAACAGAGAATTATCGATTGGAATCAGCATTAAAAAAATGAAAGTATACCAAATGATAACGTAAAAATATATGTTAATGGTAACAACTCACAAGTGATTGTATCTATGCCCCCTTCTGCACTATGAGAAACCCCTTCATCATTCACACTAGGCCCTCCAGGCTGTTGATCGCTGTACAATGCATGCTTTTGGTAGAAGAAAGTACCTCTCCCACGCCTTTTGGGCACTTGAGCTTTTGTATCATGCAAAGAAAGATTAGATACTTCTGGCAAGCTTGATGGTGAGAGCAATTCACTTGGATCACGGTCAACTATAGCTTCCCAATCTGCATTTTACCTAGTCAATTAAAAATACTATATTCATCCTTATTTAATATTTGCATGTTGTTTAAAAATGAAATTGTGTGGTTGAAATTTATTAGAAATTAAATAATCAATATTAACCACAAACATCTTTCTTTAAAAAAAATAAGAAGAATATTTAGGAATGACTGAAAAAGAAAATATTACCATAAATTAAAGTGAGACCGAAAAAGTAAAAGTTATACGGAGTATTTTTTAAAACAACAACGCATATTATCTTTGGACTCTGAAAAATTTATCTTGCCACTACATCACTATGCCTTGTTTGTCTTTAATTTTATGGCTCAAGAGTTTGCAGCAGAGTCACAGACAGAATGCACTCACCGTCATCTGAACAGCCTTGCGAGTCATCACCTGGAAAGTTGGAAGAATTCTCCGGATTACCTTCGCAAAACAAATCGCAAATGTTTCAGATTTCAAAGAGAAAGCTTAACAACCAGAGATTGAAGAAGATTAGGTGAATAAGTAACATATGGAGAACCAAACAACCAGAAAACTATAGAAACGATATCTGTCCTAAAAAGTTGCAATTGTTTGACTTTCCACGGCCTCATGATGCAATACTGACCGCCATTAACTATATTTTTATATAAATAAATATTAGAAAAATATGATATTACAAAAGTACATTTTAAATTAAATCTAAAGGTATAATATTAGAATAAAGCTAAGGGTACACCATTTGGTGTACCCCATTTGTACATCGGGTAAACACTCAGTGTCTGTGTTTGCCTGGTGTACAGATGGGGTACCCTATTTGTACACCTAGCATGGCCCATAATATTAACATTGTTACTCAAAAGAAATTCTGCAAAAAAAATTAGTCAAAGTTTGTGAACTTTGAACAAGAAGTCATATATGCACATCTCTTTAGAATGGAAGGAGTATGATCAACTTTCCATGCACGAAGGATAATAGGTAATTTAACCAATCACAAATATGGAGGCAAGATTGCAAATTTCAGCTAATTTAACCAATAACTAATATGGAGGCAAGGTTGCAATAGAACAAGAGAGATAAGACCACACATTCTTTGGAAATCCACTTGCCTCTTGCATTATGAAAAGCACAATCTTCTGAAGTTCCATCAGTAGAAGACTTTGAATTGTCCACATCCCTGAAATACAGCCACAAAAAGGTGAGAAAATGTACCAAATTGTATACAGTAAATATGAAAGTAGCCAAGATTCACCAAATTTAAGGCTCATTGAATCATCCCTTGTTTTAAAGAATGCCTCCTTATAATTCCCAGTTAACTCACCATTACTTTTCTAATTATGCGAAATTCTAAAAAGAATCGGGCCTTTTAATTTGAAAGAAAAATGCATAAATGTTTTATCGTGTCATCTGTCAAGGAACCAAATCAACCAGAAGCTTAACCGCTGATTTTTAGTCTAACAGCATAACACACCCTCGGGAAAATTTCATTGGGGCTCGAAATGTGAATACAACAACAACAACAACACAAAATTATCTATCGCTTGCGCATATTTTAACATGTGGATTGCTAAGAATTTAACTCGTGGCCTCTAAATGAACAAGGATAACTGATAACCTTTTGAACTGTGAAGGACACAACTCAACCATGAGTCTAAGATATGGCAGGAAATGTTTTATACTTTAACATCATCATATCAGAATTTCTATGATAATGAAATTGATAAAAATCTCTTTCAAGTCAAGGACATGACCAATTAGAGACACGAGAGAAATTTTTTGATGAAAACATGCATATTCTAGTCCAAGCGTCATTAGCATTCTCATAAAGATCAATGTTACAAATTTCTTTGAAGTCCAGAAGGACAAAACCAACCAGAGACATCAAGAGAAATTCTTTAATGAAAATATGCATATGCCAGTCAAAGCGTCATTAATATTCTCAATTTCTCATCAAGATTCCAATAAACGTAAATGGGGTAGAGAGTCCTAAAAAGAAATGCGCACTAAAGAAAGAATCTACTCTTTCCAATTGGTAACCTAATAACCTAAAAACAAGATTGGAGTTAATAGAAACGAACCTCAAGTTTCTTACCTCTTTCCTTCTGTATTGGGGATGGATTGTTGTTTGATGCTGATTGCCCGAGAGAAAGCCTCATCGGCCTTGAGAGAGAAGCCTTGAGTCGCATAGAGCTTCGCCAAGTCCAGAAGTGCGGCGGATAATTGGTCGGGTTTTGAGTCGATTTCGAGCTTCGAGACGACGGATTCCAGTAGAGAAATGGCCTTCTCGAGTTCGAAGCTAGTGACGAGGTCCTCGACTGCCTCCGTCCAGTTCGTGACATCGGTGGCGGCGGCTGAGCCTGTGTTCTCCATGTCGAATAATTATCTCAAATTCTCTACTCCCGGGTCCCGGCCCCCAAATAGTACCAATCTATTGCGGAGAGGCGGAGAGCATTGTAGTCTGGTGTGGGGTACTATGGGAGTCCTCATAATACTTGTTTTGGAATAAAATTGTTCTCATTTTCTGAGTTTTTGTGAGAGAATATAAGGGGGTGTAGTGTATAAGGAGTTGTATTCATATTTTTAAAATCAATGACTTCTATTCATGTCTATGGACTTGTGTTGAAAGTCATAGACTTCTATTGATATTTTAAAAGTCATTGATTCTATATAAATAATTTCTATGGATTTTAACAAGTCTATGGACTTTTATTTGAATAATTTTATAGATTTCACTTCCACCATCGAATTATGTCCGTCAAGCGTTATTTTTTGCACTTTAATAAGATTACTTTTAATTTTCAATTAAATAAATATTATATTTTTATATTAATAACAAAATAAATTTTATATTAACCAAATAAGTATTATACATACATACATACATACATAAATATATATATATATATATATATATATGTATACATATATATATATATATATATATATATATATATATAATTTTAAATAAAATAAACTAAAATAATTTTTCTAAAATATTTTTACAAGATAATTCTAACTGTATTATTTTTAAAAATAATTGATAATGTAAGATAAAATTTGACCTAGCACACAAGGGAAAAGTAAGAATACTAATAAAATAGATAAAAAAACATTGCATAGTATAAAATTCATCATCTCAATCAAATGTTTCAAGAAAAATGAAAAAAAATCTAATTGTAAAACAAATAAAGTAAAGAATTAACTGTTTTCACTATTAGTTGTTGCCCACATTTCATTTGCAAGATTCAATCTCCATTCGTTAGCTTTCTCTCGTTGTTGATCTTGTGTTTGAGTATCATCCCATTCATAACTCTCATCTGTTTCATTTGTTGTATCTTCATCCGGAGCTGGAGGAAATTCATCTGAACGACACTCACGTCGAAGAAAATTGTGTAGTCCCGCACACGCTAAAACAAGTTCTGCTTGTGTCTTGTATGAAAATGGTGGTGCTGTTTTGAATATTGTGAATCGTGACTTGAATACTCCAAATATTCTCTCAATTACATTTCTTAAGGAAGAATGTCGAAGATTGAACAACTCCCGTGCATTGGTAGGGTGATTTCCTCCTCTGCCAAAATCTTTAAGATGGTATTGAGTACCTCGAAACGGCGTTAAAAACTGACAACGATTTGGAAAACCACAATCTCCCAAGTAATATTTACCTATTCATGAAAATATTATTTAATAAGTATGCATTTATGTGTTGCATAAATTGCAATAATAAGAGACTAAATTTAAGAAGAAAAAATATATACCTGATGGCACTTTGAGCCCATTTGGTCTAGAAAGTGCATCATTTAAAACTTTTGAATCATGGGCAGAACCCTCCCATCCACTAAACACGTAAATGAATTGCAGATCAAAATTGCATACAGCTAAGACATTTTGAGATATAGTCCCATGACGATTGCGATAACTACTCACTTCACGCCCAACTACCATTGCTGGAATATGGGTGCCGTCTATCGCTCCAACGCAATCCTGAAAAATGAATTACAAAAAATGTATATTTATTGGTGTATAATTAAGATGGTCTAATGTCAATGTCAGTGTTAATTTTCATAACTTACCTTAAAGTAAGGATAAAACCTTGTGCTCTCTCTGATGATGTATGGTACGGACTCTGGTTTGGCCATAAGATGTGGTGCTATTGTATTCAAAGCCTTCAACACTTTGTTGAAACTTCTACTAATAGAGAAGTGTGATCGTTGAAATATCATTTTAGGTTCACTATAACGATTGTTTTGACCGACAACTAGCAAAAAAGTTGCGAGCATTTCTTCAACACAAATATACCTTGTGTCTCTTAAAGGTGTTTTCTCTTTTAGGATAAAACATAGTTTTCGAAACACATCTGGATACATTCTGAATAGCATTCTAAACTTATAAGGGTCATCATCCAATATTTTGTGCATGTACTCGTATCCAGTAGAAGTCACTGATCGACGAGTCAATGGACGTCCAACAGGTTCCCCACCAAGGTCCAAAAGGAGATTGTGTATCACAGAAATGACTGCTTTTATTGCTAATAATAATATTTTAACTGCCTTATAAAATTCTACTTCATCTTCATCGGCTCCATACAAATCTATTTCAGACATAACTTAACAAGAAAAAAACAAATAAATAAGGTACGTCAATTCCGATATATAATAAAATCATCAAAGTATATGGTGTAATTCAAAACACATAAGTCTCAACTACTAATAGGAATAGATTTAAAACAAATACCTAAAAGAGTATCTATTGCTAAAATAACTCTTAAGACTACTACATTTGTTTAGAGATAATCCAACTTAATCGTTGTTCAGGAGTCATCTTCAAAAAGAAATCTTGCTTTGCTTTGGTGTTAAGCAAATCAAGAGCCATAAAGCATTCATCATCGGTTAGTCCTGGCGTCTCCTTCATGGCATCCAAAAGGTCACTCTCTCTCGACTCTCTCTTCTCCATCAGGCCACAAATTTTATCAAAGCTCTTAACAATTCTTTCAAACCCACTTGACAAGTTCACTAGGACCTCATCTTGAGTTTTAGCAACCTTTTTTCCCTTTCTATTTTCAAAATCATCTCTGCTCCTTTTTCCTTAGACGCTATTGTGTGATGAAGGTTGATCTTCTATGTTTGAACTTTTTGTAGGTTCTGGTGAAGCTAGATTAGTTTGTATGAAGGCATTAGTATTTTCATCAAAGACTAACTTGTCTATGGACTCAAACCCATCAACTTCATCTTCTTCTTCTACTTCTAATATAGTGGCATCTGTGTCATTGCCAAGGCCAATTGCATTCATGCCTGTTGCAGTTCCATTTCCTACCGCGATTCTCAAGTCATCATAATTTGAAAAAGTCTCCGTCCGAAAAAATCCATGTGTTGGATTGGACTGATTGGACAAAAACACTCAAATTGTGAGCACGATTTTAAGCATTAACTTAAAGAAAAAAAATGAAGAAAGATATAAGCTCACCTTTAAGTAATCTTCCCATACTTCATTAGGAGCAGTGAATTTCTTTGTGGTTGCATCCCACCCAAATCCAGAATTATGGCGTAGAAGCTTAGAGTAATTAGAGTATTGTTTCTTAAACCATTTCACTCTACTTTGATATTGACTAAAACTAATTTCATAACCAAGTTGTTCCTTAAGTTTTGGAAGAAGTTTCTTTTCCACTGTTTGTTTTGTAATGACTCCATTAATATCACGTAGACCACGTTTTGCTCCATCAACCATCAATTGCAGCAATTTGTTACTCTCTTTGGTTGACCAAGTTTTATAATCCTTTCGCTTACCATTCTCTTGTGAATCTTCCATCTCTATGATAGTATACAGTCAACCATAAATCAACTTACATCATACGTGAAATAGAACAAAAATCATATAACTATTCCTATTTCCCAATGCTAAAAACCCAATCCGTAGGTTTTGGACCAACACACATATAATAATTGGCAGATACTCAAGAACATGCATAATTTAATAATAGAGAAACAGAGCACACACAGTCTAAAAAATTTATACAAATTGAAAGTGTTCAAGTAATGTAATATTGTACTTGCAAGGTAAAGAATATAGAAAGATTATCATGGTAGGTCGGACTAATAAAATTACTACCAACAAGACATGCAAGGTATATCAATGAATTTTTTTCCCCTATCATTTTAACAATAAGAAATGGCATCCGTTAGAGCGTGGTATCCACCGAGACAACCGAGTATTATTTCTAGTGAAAAAAACATTTTTTTCAACACTCACTGCTGGAACATTTTGATTTTTCTCACATGCTTCCCCTATTTTCTCATAGGAGACAATGTGATCAAAAAGTTGTAACTTTTCTTCATGTTGTAATAAGGAAACAATGGCAAATGTGTTGTAGAAAACTGCTTTTGTATAAATAGCATGTGATTTATTCATGGGTTTAATTACTCATATCCCCCACCCACCACTACAAACACACACCCCAAATTCCATCAAATCTAGTTTTTTTCCTTTTTGATTTGAACAATAAGAACATATATATGGAGTGCATCAGAGAACTTTTTTTCCTTTTTGTGGTAACTTCATCATATTTGTGGTAAAAAAAATTGTGTGGTTCTCAAAAACTCTTCCTCATCCAGTTTTAGAAGTCTATTTTGTAATTAGAAGTCTATTTTGTAAATGACCTATTTTACTCCACTGGATAAAGGGAAGCAAACATCATTCAGCGCATGGCCATATGATGCAAGACCACAAATAGACGCCAATGGAAGCAAATGCAATCAGGGAATAAAAACTAGATTGAAGAAAGCCTAGGGAATATAATTGCCTAATAATTGAAAAGAAAGCCTCATAATTCAAGAAAATCACATGGCAACGACAAGATGAATCAAAAGAAAAAGCAAGCAAAAGAATGAAAATCTTACTCGAGGGCGCTGCCTTGCTACGATCGATTTCAAGCTGTCGAGAGCAATTGAGGATGATGAGGCGGCAGACCTAGGGCTCTTACGTTAAAAAAAATCCAGGAAGAATACTTGCTCTTGTGTAAAGAAAATAATGGAGAAAGAGTATTTATAGTCCTAGAGTAAAATATCATCATATATGAATGATTTTATTAAATCCATGAGTTTAATATTATTTTGAATACCTCTAGATTTTTTTTTAATTTTAAAAGTCTATTTTGAATACCGCTAGACTTTCGTGGAATTTATAATGACTTTTTAAAATCCTTATTCAATACACCCAGATTTTTATTGATTTTAAAAAGTTATAATTGAATACACCCAAACTTTTGAATTCCATTGATTTCTATTAAAATGAATAAGAATCCTTATACAATACACCCCCGTAAGTGTTTATGTTAGAGTAAAAGAGTATTTATTTTGAAATAACATGTTGTTTATTTTGAATGAATATAATATTTATTTTGAAACACCGTAGTGTTCATTTTCACAGTATTATTAATTATAATTATAATATTTATTTACGAATAATACAGTGTTCATTCTCAAATAACGTAGCATTCATTCTGATGCAACATATTGTTCATACCACCCCTACTCTGAAGCAATCATGTGTTATGTACATGTAAAATCTGTAACCCCCACCTCGATCTATTGTAGTAGGCTCAAAGCTAGGTTATGTCACCTCCATCGTGAGGCCATTCAT